AGGGTGGCGGCGTACGGGAACATCTGCTACTGCCAACTCCTCTCATCTATCTCCATCACGCGGCCGTAGTTTCGCACATGCATAATCTCGAGACCCCGTTGTCCGACAACCAAGATCCATTTCTGATCTTATTCAAACCCGTTCGCATCCTTTGCGTTTGGGATTCAGTGGCGTGTTTCCAAGCGATGCTGTGGATCTCGTTTAATTAGAAATCAATCCGCGTCGTTAATTTGTAATTTTCGAGAGGAGAATTGGTGGGGAAATAAGATCGATCGATTCGACGGAGAATGGTGAGGAGAAATTATTTTTCAGACTATTATTAACGAGAGGCGAGTCTCGTTATTATTTTTTCCCTCAGATTTTCAGCTGTGAAAATGTATATAACATTTATATAACTTATACGATATATAACGTGATATAATTTGCAAGTTTCATGCGGCAATTCGAGTGATTCACGTTAGATTTTCTTATCTCCAAATAATAATCGGTATTGGTTTGCGAAATAGGTCCCTTGGATCTTTATTTCTCTTATTACGAAACGTAATATAAAATCATGTTATCCATAAGTCACATATCGCAAAATCGTCTCGAGTTGCGCAAAGGATTGATAATGTTGAAACATACGATAAGAAAAAAAATTCCTTTCTTCCTTTCTCGTTGTGTCTCCATTGAAGAGCCATCGATCGATTACAATCGCACGAATCTACGATGGAAATCGAAACGAAAAATCGGATTGAACGAATAAAAGAAAAATTATCGCAACGAAGGGGCTCGTAAATTCATTCAAAAAAAGAAAAAAGAAAGAAAGAAAAAAGCCGCGATCCTTGTTTAAGACTACCTCGAGGTATCTCCAGATAACCGATCTCCTCGATTCAAGAAACAGATACACCCTCTTTCTCTCCCATTCCTTTCTATATTTCGTTTTTATTAATTCAATTCAATCTATTCGATATTCATCGACGCGCGATTTCGTCCGAATAATGGCGGCATAAATAAAAAAAAAGGAGGGGGGGGCGAGGTTCGGCCTTTCATTAAATTTATGATAAAGGATTCGAAGGGGGGAGGGGAAGGGAAAGACTTGGTCTCGTTTGGAAACCCTCCCCCGCCGGAGGGAGGGTTCCTCCACTTCCGCTCGGACGTATTGTCGCGCGACAAATCGATCGTCGTCCGCTCGGAGGGGATGGAAAAATTCGATCTCCAAGTGGAAAAGCAATAATCGATAAGATGAAACGAGGGGATTTTTTAAGAAAAGGATTTCTCGTCCGTTCCACCATTCCTGTGATGCGTTTATCCAAAGATCCGATTCCCGTATTATTCCGCGATTTCTTCCCCCCCTCCCTTTTGATTTCCCCTTTCGAGGGTTGTATTAAACGTTTCTTTCCAGAGATATGAATATGTATCCGGGGATTTTGGGAATTGCGAAGGGGAGATCAAGTGCGTTTGTGGAATTCAATTGTGAATGTTTGGAGAAAGAATTTATTTATGGAATAGATAGAAGGGTGGTGTCTGTGATCTTTTTAATTTCTTTTCTTACGAAATTTTCCCTTTGATGAACGATAAATAATGGTGATTTTGATCGATACGGAGATTGGATCGATTTCTTTTAATTTGAATTAATTATTAGCGGTTAGATTCGAATAAATTTAAACATACGGATTTGTGCGATTAAGATACGCTCGCAAAGGTTGATTCACTTTCAAGATTCACTTCTTTGAAGAAGACGCGTTGTCGTTTCTGATTCGAAAAATGATCATCGATCGATGTGATACTTCTTTTTTTTTTTTTCTTTTCTTTATTTTTCATGCTACTTGGTTATATCCATTGATGGGCAAAAATTTAATAGTTGAAGTTACATAGAATAACATTATTTCGTAATATTAATTATAAATAATTGTAATTGCAACAACAAGATTATGTGAAATCGAGGATCAACTATAATAGCTACGAACAAATAGTTAACAAGTACAATTACTCGAACTAACTTTATTCGAAATTTTTAACTGATTACTTTTCTCAACGAGTCAAACTCTGCCTATATCATCGATAATCGGTCAACGAAATTAAAATTTCGAATAAACCTCCCACCTATTATTACATTTGCTTCCCTCACTTATTAATTATTACGTAATAATTATCTCCAATTATTCGAGTACAGTTACCATATATTTTCAATAATATCCTGGCTTGATCGTTTAATCTCAGTAATTCCTCTGTCACAGATATCTCCGCGAGAAAGAGGGAAGATTCGAAAATGGAATTTCATTTTTTTTGGACAGGAGCAGCGTCGTCGTAGGTTGTAACTAGGGGATGCAAATTTGATCCGGCGTGGCGGCGCGCCGAGACGCGGGGCGTGAAAACGTATTTTAAACCGGGCCAAATAATTCATCCGATGAATTATTTCCGCTCGCGCGACGCCCGTTATTAACGAGGATCGATCGATCGCCCTTCCACCTTCGCCGCGATCCAAACGCGATTCTTATTTTATTCCTCTTTGGAATAATCGAAATAACGCAAAATTTCCTTTCTTATTTACCGTCTATTCTTTTGGAAGGTGGACGATAACGAAATTTTCGATTATTAACGAGGATCGAATTCCATTTTCATTTTATTTCTCTTTTGAATAATCGAAATAACGCAACTTTCTTATTTACCGTCTATTTTTGGCGCGAAGGTGGACGATAACGAAATTTTCGATTATTAACGAGGATCGAATTCCATTTTCATCGCGATTTTTATTTTATTCCTCTTTTGAATAATCGAAATAACGCAAAATTTCCTTTCTTATTTACCGTCTATTCTTTTGGAAGGTGGACGATAATGAAATTTTCGATTATTAACGAGGATCGAATTCCATTTTCATCGCGATTTTTATTTTATTCCTCTTTTGAATAATCGAAATAACGCAGTTTTTTCGCGGTTTTTTATTTACCATCTATTTTTTTAAATGGGCGTGAAGATGAACGAAATTTTCGATTATTAACGAGGATCGAATTCCATTTTCGTCGCGATTTATTTTATTCCTCTTTGAAATAATCGAAATAATGCAGCTTCCTTTCTTATTTACATCTATTCTTTTGGACGGCGTGAAGATGGAATGAAATTTTCTTCTATCCGTTTTCCATTGCGCCTTTCTCTTTCACGGACAAAGGATGATCGTTTCGATTTTTCTATGCTCGTAATAAGAAATATAACCGCGTAACGACACGCGAAAGTTGCAATTTTTCAATTCGATACAAGAAAATACGGTTTTCGATTTTTTTCGAACGCGTTTCGTTTCGAAGGAGTTCTTCTTGTCTTGGCCCATTACCTCAAACGCGACGAGAAAACCGTTTTCACGGTTGTCCGCGCGCACTGGAAAAACGCTGCTCTCTGCGTATTTTTCCCTATTCCCCCCTCCCCCCCTCCCCCCTCCCCTCCCCTCCCCCGCGTTCCCTGTTCTCGAATCCTCGCGCGATGCTGAGCATCGCGAAAATCGAACGATCTTTCACGCGGAAATCGGCCAATCTGGTTCTCTGAATTTGTCTTCGGTTCGTATTTACCTTCGCTTCGAGGAAGAGAGTTGGCCATTTTCTAAACACGTTGTGCATCGAAAAAAAAAGAATTTTTAATAGAGGATTAATAAAAGCATAAGTTGAAGCTGTTGATAGTATTTATTACAAGGAAGAAATTTGAAGAAATATCGTAATTATATCGCGTATATTTAAATGTTGAAATCGAATCTCTATTTTCTGGAATAGAATAGAAACAAAATACAATTTCTCTTTTCTAAAACTTGAAACATTTAATTCGAACGGATAAAATTGTTCCAATTTAAAAAAAAAAAAAAAGGAAAAGAACGCAATTTATATTAATCCTTCAGAAAAATTGTTTCGACTTCCTCCAAATTTTCGATATTCTTCTCGATCGATATTAGATCGAAAAGAATCGCGATCTTTCCTCGCTCTCGATGTATCGGAATTCATCGATATTCAAGCATCCGTAGGGGAAAATAGAGATTTGAAACGAAGGGAAATAGAGAATAGACGCGCGTGGGGAGGGGTGGGTGTGCAAGTGCAAGCGCACCAGGGACGATAATTCAGAAACCGGAGAAATCAATTCCGGTAAGCCGAATTCGACCTACATTCCGCATCGATTTGACACTACACCAAGCCTGAGATTAAACGGGCCGGGAACCGAGTGACCGCGTCATCGGCCCGCTAAAATATTTAATTCGAAATCCGTCGGATTAAAAACCGTTTCCCTGCTAGCCCAGCAACCCCTCTCGATTTATGGCCGAATCGTTTCCTCTTCCGTTATAACCGTTCTACGTGTACTACGATCAATCGATTCTTCTCCCCCGTTATTTTCGAGATCAATCTTGTTCGATTATTTTTTTCACGCAATTTCACACAATTCTACACTGTGTATGTATGTATGTATGTATGTATGTATATTGTATGTTATGATGATAATACCTACGAGATTTAATTGTCGATTTATTTTTCGCGCAATTTCTACTCGACGAATATTTATTTACAATGCAAAATTTATGAATTCTTCTCATCGTGTTTTACATAAATTTGTATTAAAAAAAGATTTCAGCATTTTTAACCACCTCAAATCGGTGAGTGATTAAGTGATGAACAGAAATTCTAAATTTATATAGAAAAATAAAAGACTAGCATTTCTTAACTGATATTATACGATATTTTTATACTTATGGAGGGAAAGAGAGAGGCGAGACGATATACACTTTTATATTTATAGAAAGATAGAGAGAGGCGAGACTTATACAATATCATAAATCAAAGTTGAGCTAGGAAATCCTAAATTTGTATTTAAAAAGGTTTTAACATTTTTTAACCACCGATACACGAATACACGATACTTTTGTACTGGTGTGGAGAGATAGAGAGAGGATGTGTCAAATCAAAATTGGATGATGATGAAATCCTAGATCGTTTGTCGACGCACGAACTCCATTAACGTATATCTATCTGTGTCTTTAATCTGCCCCTCAGCCTGCATTCTGGAACTCGTGGTCGGTCAGCAAGGGCCGGTGTTCGTTCTCGAGCCACCGAGCACCCTGGTCTTTTCCAATACCACAGGCTCCCAGCTAAGCTGTTCCGCTCATGGGAGCCCAACGCCGCACGTCACCTGGATAACCAGTCCGGATCAGAGATCGGTCACCGCAGTTCCCGGGCTAAGGTGAGTTAATTAACATAAACATCACCACTTTTAACCCCGTCTTAAATCCTTTTGAACCGCGTAAAGATCATCCGTGTCCCTCTTTTCACGTATTTATATCTCATTGCTTAGGTAGAAAAGAAGAATTTTTCCAAATTTTTCATTAAAATTTACAAAATATATCACAATGATACTTTTATTTTAAAATACAGGCTTTAAAATATAAATCTTTGCAGATGGAAATATCTTAATAGAATAATTGGATACAGGAATTTTTCATATTTACAATAAATATCATTTCTATGATATCTCTAAATAACAATTTCACCTTTGTTTCAACAAACGAGGCCATTATTTATTATCGCGATCCATCTTGTTTCCAATATATCAAATTTGCGAATTAAATAAATTAATAATCAATGATATATTCGTTGTGCATCACTTTACCCGCCGTCGTATTTATATTCATATATAATAAATACATTCTCAAATGGATAGATAGGAAGAACACACGCGCAGAGAGAAAATGGTTTTCAAAATGGGCTTCGCTGTAAATTCCACCGTTAGAGGTATCGCCATCCAGTAGTAAGATCGGCGAATTTTCGGCCGGAAAATTCGCCGATTCGTAAGAGTTGGTTGCCGCGATAGAAAGCGGGTAAGCGGATTAACGTGGCGGGATTTAGAAGTTGCGAGCCGCTGTAAATTGTAGGAGTTTCGAACGGGGCGGACTTAGCGGTGGTGGGTTGAAAAATACGGCTGCCGCGAAACGCATAATCACGTAGTTGAACTTTTGATATTAATCGGGGGCTGGGATAATTAAATGGCAACTTCTTCTTCTTCCGCTTGTCTCTCGAACGATTTCCATCTCTCGTTCGCTTTCGCCTCCGTTTAACTTTTGTTTATATCGAAAATACGGGATACGATTAAGAAAGTAGTGGTTCGAAATTCGTTATCTTTTTAAATTTCTTTCTTTCGATTTTTAATTTTTTCCCCCGCGTTCGATCAATTGTGATTCCACAACAAATTTCACGTGTTCAATTTACTCGATCGGATTATTGTTCTATTATCCTTATCAAGCGATGCTAATTATACCTTAATTAGATATACACCCCAAAAACTGGAACCGATCGCTAATCGATTGCACGATTACGTTCTTTCTTTGAGTCTTAAATCGTAATTTTTTTTTTTTCATTACGGATAAAATCGAAGATAAATTTACGATAAAGAATAAGAGAGAGAGAGAGAGAAAGAGAGAGGAGGAAAGAAGAATTTTATACTTGTTATCATTCCGGAATTGAAATAAGAATTTTTCGAAAATTTATTGGGAGGTTGCAGAGCAGGTATGGAGGTCACGAAAGGTTTGGTATTATTGGAAGTTTGACGCCACACGTCCGGCAATATCGTAAACGTGGCACCTGGGGAAACCATTTCCTCCCGGTAATTGAAATGTTCCTTATCCAATGGTCGTCTGGTAAGTTTGTCCGCAAGCAGAACGTCCCACAGGAAGGCTGCAAGCCTCTCTCGTTCACCCTACTTCGATCTCTCCCGCATCGTTAATGAACTTTTGAACCAACGAGTATAATCTCGCGAAAGAATGAAAAAAAAATTGGGACGGAATGAAACACGATTTCTTCTCGAGCTTCTTGATCGAGTCTAATTTCTTCAATTATATACTCTCACTAAATAATTTTAATTTCTCGTTTAACTCGTAAAACTGAACAAGTTGAACGAAGACACTTTCGACTCGTCGACCGATTATAATCGCTCTCAAGAATTCTCTCAGCAGAAAGATCCCCTCGCACAAGAGGGATCCGATCATTCCGGTTTATTCAAAGAAACAAACTCCTCCCTTTATTTTCTCATCCTTTATATCCGATCGATCAAATTCAAAACATCTAACGCGGAGCAGACATTAGCATTGGAACATTTTGAAACGAACTTTCGTATCGAAAGCCGCAACGCTCTGTGGGGAAGAATTCAAAGCAGAAGCAAAGCCTCTCTCGTTCATCCTCGTCAAACGTTTCCTTTTGCTCTCGATTCTCGGTTTTTCTCAGTAATTCAGACGTCGCGCTTTTCTCTTCATTTCGCGAAACCCGGCGACTGTATCTTTCGACAAGAGTCGATCGATTAAAGAGGAGGAGGAGGAGGAGGAGGTTGTTTTTCGATGAAGGAAGAGGGGAAGGAGAAATCGGTGGAATAAATTCCAAGGAATGAACGAGAGAGAAACGATTGGAAAAAGGAGGAGAGAAAGGAAGAAATTATCTGGCTGAGAGAGAAGCTGAGAATCTAATACGCGACGTGATTCGATCCGCTCGAACAAATTTGTCTTGCGTGTAACGTTTATTTACCCTCGAAACAGCTAGTTTACGAGCGGAACGAATATTTGTATAGTTAAGTGTTCCGATAGAATATACATGACGTTGTGGAAAGTTTGCCACTGGGTGTTAATCTTACCGTAGAATCTCGTAAATTGATGCGATCAACGGCTGTTAATACACGGCTGTTTATTTACCACGTATCTATAATTCTATTAATCCTCAATTCAGAATTTGAATAGGAATTCGTTTAATCAGTAAGAAACTTTTTAAACTTTGGAAACTTGTTTTTCAAAAACAATCTATGAGTTGTTAAGCGTTTGCATTTTGATAAAACAAAAAAAAAAAGAAAAATAATCATAATATATATACGGTAAACTTTCATCTTGGAACGATTGTAAATAAAAAGGAGAATGGTCATCGGAATGTCGAAAAATTCCCTTTGTTGAATAAGTAGTATCGGTCAGCGCATCGGTCGAACGTGGAAATGAAATGGAAGCGTAGTCGAAGTGGAGCAAGCCGTTAAATAGTCAGGCTACCATCGATACGAGACGTTATACTTTTCCGAAAAGAAAAAAAAAAAGCTAGAAAATAACGACAAACCAATATAGCAACATCAATAATAATTAAACAAGCGAGAATTGATGGGAAATCAAAATAAACGATCGCGTTGATGGAACACGATCGCGTTAGAGCGGACAAGTAGAATAGGTAAATATTGACAGACACAACATCTAATCAGACTAATACAACAGTGGCGTGTTTTATCAAGCAACTGTTACACCGATTGTGTAAGTAATTAGTACAAGTGGGTTACGTAGCTGGTTAAGTAGTGTGGCAGGGTGTGTAGTTAAACAAGTAGTGCAGGGCAACGCTTTATCAGCCCGACTATCATAAACGTAACCACGTTGTTCACGTACGTGGCCGCGTGTAATTATGGGACGAATACCGTATTCTAATTAAACTTGTAACGCAAGAAAATCTGTACTCGGGCCGAGAGATAATTTTGTAATTTGAATCGTGAAAATCGTTCGATTCGATGATACTTAATATTGTTTAATGGAATATATATATTTAATGAAATGGTATAACGTAGTGTGTGTTTATAATTTAATTCCCCTCGTGATTCTAAATCTGGATATATCACTAGAATGTGAATGAAATTTACAAAACTTATAACTCCTTTTTTTTCTTTTTTTCGTTAGCTTCGAATATAATTTTTTCTTCATCTTTATTTCTTTTCGCGAATATTCTACGTTTATTATTTATTATTTCATGATTAAAAAATAATAATAATAAACGATACACTCGAGAGAAGAAGATGCGAACGGAATTTTATTTTCCGGGATATTAATATTCAATTTATTAAAAAATTCGAATTATTAATAAACTGGACGAAATCGATTCGCCCGATTCCCCCCTCGCCTTGATTGAAAATATATATTACTCACCGTGATGTTACACACTCCGTGAAATAAAAACGAAAGAAACGAAAAGATCCGATTTCGATTTGCTCACCACCGTTGCTCGTGGAAATTTTTGCTTCTCGAGGAAAGTTTATTTCCAACGTCCGATCGATTTTACTATCGATTAGCGAATTTAAAACGCGCCAGGCTTATCCTCCTGGTGGGCAGAGGTTCGTGAACCCCATTAAGCGTTAATGTAAATCATTCTCACGGCAAACATCACGCGCTTGCCAGCGCATTTAATCCTTGCCGCGTATTTATTATGCGCCTGGGAACGCTCGCATGCCTCGACCATCGTTCGATACGATCCTGATGTTTCGAGATCGAATTTCTTTTTTTTTTCCTTTTTTTTCCAATGGCAAAATGGAATTCACGAAATTTCAAATTCGAACGAAGCTCGATATCGTGCTTAAATATTCGGAGCAAATCGGGGGGAGGGGAGAGGATAAAATAGACTTTTATTTTTGTAATTGAATTTTAATACGAATTACGACGCGAAAGTTTTTTTTCCCGACGAAAAAACTGTCTGTCAAGCGCAAAAATCATCACTTTTGAATTTTTGAAAACATCCATTTTCATTCGTTTCTCTCGATTTTTTTTCTTTCTTTTTTTTTTTTTTTTTTTGTAAGGAAAGGGACAACAAAACAGTAACGTGTTTTCCACCACCATGTCCCAAATTCCTTCATCCCCGAGCTAACAAGCGGAAATCTCGCGACGGTTCCACGTATGACGAGTTCAGACAAGCGGAAGGTAACCGGAGGTTTGACCTCTCGTCGAATCGATACCGGTGAGATACGGGGTGAGGGACATTTTTAGCCATTATGACGCGAATCTTGAATGTTTCATCTTGTTTGCGGGTAATTCGATTCGGCTAATCGGCTCGAGGGAACGTTTTTCCAATCGTTGAGGAGAACTCTGTTAAGTTTATTTAGAGACTTATCGAGTCGACAAGGGAAGAACGTGAAATCGAAAAACGTGAAATTAGAAATATAAAAATCGAATTGAAGTTGTATAACTATTTGTGAAATATATAAAAGATATCTGATTAATTTTAATTTGTATATATGGAATGATCGATTGTGTAAGTTTATTCTTGAAAGGAATATAGATAAGAAGAAATAAGGATATTAAAAATGCAAGTATTTCTCCGTAATATTTTTCCGTTTCCGATTCTAAAAGTATTGAAAATAAAGATGAAAGGAATTTTGCAAAGGGATAAAATTAAATAGAGTAGAGAAGAAGGATATTCTTCTTCGATGAAAATTAACTAATTTTCTTGAAAATTCTTAAGTAAAAAAAAAAAAAAATTCCAACGAATCGCGGCAGAGTTGAAATACGACGTAGGATTTAATTCTCTATGATTTAATATCAAGTGCAATATTAAGATTAAAATTTTTTTCTCGTTATTCATCTCGTTTGTTCACATATTTTAATTATCCCCTTAACCACGTATTTTTCTACCGTATTTTAAAGAGCTTTAATTCCGCGGAATTAATAAAAGATATTTTCTCCTTGGAAAAAGAAATTTTCTGTTCTCCTCGGTAACAAAAAAAAAAAAGGAAAAAAAAAGGAAGAAGAAAAAAATCACGATGACGAAGTAAAAAAAGACGAAGTTAAAAAATGTTTAAGGCTAAATTTATATGACGAATGGGGAAAATAGGCAAAGACGTTGGAATTCTAACGTTTTCATTTTCTTTCTTTTTTTTGTTTCCTTCTGGTTGTTTCAGACAGCTGCTCGGGAACGGCACCCTCTATTTTCCGCCATTTCTGGCGCAGGATTTTCGAGCGGAAGTGCACAACGCTAGGTACAGGTGTCGTGCGACCAGTTCAGTAGGAACCGTGCTTTCCAGAGAAGTCACTCTTCGAGCTGGTGAGTTTAGTAGTAATACCTTTTCCTAAATTCAATATCGACCGATCGAATTATCCTATAATTTAGTTTCCTGATTTTAAAAAAAAGAAGAAAGATTTTTTAAAAAAAAATGAAATTCAAGATTTTTAATTCTGGAATAAATTTATTTACACCTTGGGATTATTTTTAAAAAGGAATTAAAAGAAATTGATGAAATTATTTCTTATGACAATAAAAGAATTTCCAAGAACTTCTATTTTTCATTAAAAACTCATTTCTCGTTTAATTTAAATTACACACAATTCAAAAAAAAAGAAAAGAAATTTAATTAACCTAAATTTAATTTAACATTCCTGAAATTTCGGAATTAAAATTCTAATAAATTATCTGATATAAGATTCGTAGATAAAATCTAGATTCCGGATCAACGTGGTAGATTCGAATCTATATTCAAATAGACTATCACGGTGAATCGAATATTCTTCAGAAATCTGATAGTATTCTACTGCTGGTCTACTCTAGTCAACAGTGCGAAGCATAATTGAAACGTGTAGCACGTACTATATACATATATATATATATATATATACACACACATATGTTTCAAATGGCAAACAAATAAGGGTCTGCGCTCGAATCAGAATAATTAAAAGATCTTGTGCGTTAGGTTTTATCCAGGCAGTGTACTCGAGAGCAGTCCAGCGCGTTAATAACATAAAAATAGCGTAAAATATAGCGAGGGAAAAACGTTCGCTTTGCCGTGTTCCCACAGGTACAGACAGAAGTCTCATTATCGTGTCCCCAGTGCGGTGCTCATTAATTACTATATCTTTTTTTTCCCCGATCTCGCTCGGCATGTAGACACACGCAGAAATGGCACACGCGATATCGTGAGCATAGTAAAATCAAAATTTCGATCTGAAATTTATAATTGAAAATTATCTTATTGTTTTCGCGAACAGCGATTCGTTTGATGCGAATGATGAAATTTTATTATTTATTTATTTTCCTTTTTTTTGGATAATTTTTCTTAAAAATATTAATCGATGTAGATTTTTGCGAAATTCGATTTTGAGAAAAATATAGGAAAATTGAAATAATATTTTATGAATAGGGATAAATTGTTCAACATATTCGTTTTATCTTGAGAATGTAGGATAAGTGCTATTTCTTGTTCTATCCTTTTAATAAAAAAATATTTAATTTTCTTGCTTCGTAAAAGAGACGTTTAAAAATAATCGCAGTTGATATTTCGATTATCAAATTATTTTTATGTAACAAAGATAGGTTTGATAATAAAAAATAAAATACATGAAATTATATAATATTAATAATTCGATGTATAAAGATATGAATGAACAATTTTTAAAATTTTAATTCACGATTTTCTTTTTCTACAATACAGGTTCTCTAATGGGGGCCATGACCATTATAGGTCATAAGACCTATCCATATCCATAACTTTCGTCTATTTCCGCCTCGTTTTCCGCGCCGTTATACGCGAAGCGTGATCCGTAAATAGGGCACCTACTTATTGTCACTAAACAAGTTGTTGCGGATCAAGTTACGAATATACGTTTGAATAATAATGCTACTATCTTAAATACCTTTCTTCGCGTTAAGAATCTACGAACTCTGCATTTATATTTTCCGCTTTTCAATTAAAATCTTTTTACTTACATGGCTTGAATACTTGATCAATCGATAAAATGATGAAAAATTTTCTTATTACTTTCTGTTTCAATTTATTCGGTCAAATTAGATTAGCTTTATTTTACATCTCTTTCACTATACTTTCTCCAAAACCAATGACTTTAATCAATCAAATTAAGTTACATAACCTCAATCGTGCAACACATCACAAGTTTACGATCTTTTATTACTAACGCAATGTTTTCTCGAAAAACCATATCAAAAAGATCATCGTCACATCCACTCTTCCACTCTATCAAAACACGCGAAGCAACCAACGAAAAAAAAAAAAAACTCGAAAAGAAACGATCCCATTCATCGATACGTTTTCCCTCCATGTTGCGCGAATACACAATAAACGTCAATTACATACAGTGAACGTTGAAACGTGACCGGCCGCGACAACTGGCGGAAAGTTGGTGAAGATCCCATTATGCCGGAAACACAGGCCGCGTTTTCATCGTAGATGTCTCCGTGTAAATACTGAAGGGAAAACGCAACTGAAAGCCGTTAAATTGTATCGAAGGAAAGTTCGATTCGAGCGAGTTGGCGAAGAGAAAGAGATAAAAGGAGAATAGGATGGAGGTGTGAGGAGGGAAAGAGGAGGAGAGAACCGTCTGCAAACGTTGTCGAGAGAACAGGGGGACAAAAGTTGGTCCGGCAGCCATGGGCTTTACGTGAGCCACCATTTAAATGGCTGATTTTATGCCGACCAACGCTATACAAACCCGTAAAACAGGCTACGTGCCCGTTACGGATAGCACTTGTATATTGGGAACCGAAATTAGAAGAGAATTTCGAATCCTTCCATTTAACTTGCCTTCGAGACTCGCCTCGTTGCTTTTTTAATGCGGTCTCGCCGACACTGCCAACTGTTTTAGTTACGCGTAACGTGCGCTTTTTTTTGTTGCTTTGAATCTCTAGTCTTTTGTTCGATTGGAAAAGAGAAATTGTATCCGGGAATCGAGGAATTATTTTGTTTAGGTTGTTTTTTTTTTTTTTTTACGAGTAAGTTTAAATAATTATTGTTTTTCGAGGTTAGGTGAATACTTTGAGATGAAAAAAGGAATAAACGTTTGTTTGGTGGTATTAATTGGATATGTTTTAAATGAAAAAATAGACATTTTATTTTACAATGGAAATATTTAGTTTTCGGTTAGTTTTTGGAAATTAAGCGAAAGAAGGAATTGGAGCGAATTCGCTCTGTTTCGAAAGATTTTTCGTTCAAGTTGGAATGCGATTCCAAATAAATTTTTAGCTCAAAATTTATAAAAAAAAAAACAACAATGGAACGCAAATTTTTATTTTTCATTGTCCCGTTATTCCATTACGATAATTGGAAAAAATTTCCAGCAAAGATCACGATTAATTAAGTACGAGGGAAGTGGCATTTATTTTCCGAGCATTTCGATTTCCAAGTTTCTCGAAAGAAGGACGACAGTAAATTCTGGCAAAGTTCTCGAGACCTTTTGGAGGAGCGCGTATCGATTGGACGGTTTCTTCGTCCGGCGGAAGTTCGTAAGTCGGGGCCGTCAATGGTAACAGAAATTCTTCTTCCTACTTTTCGTCGAGTCATCCCTGTCTGCCGAACTTTGGAAAGTTTTCCGACAGGAAACGCGCGCGTACACTGGCTGGCCAATTGACCAGAAGAGGGGAAGGAGGAAGGGTTGGAGGAGGGGGAGAAAAAAGAGGAAGAATTCGAAAGTCGAATTCTCTCGCGATCATGTCCATACATTTTCTAGCCTTTTGATTCTTCCTCGTCTGGAAGTCGGTCACTTCGCCAACTTCTCGACTCTTCCACTTCTTGAACATGAATCGACCAACTTCCACGTGTTCTGCTATCCTCCTGTCGTTCGTATTTATCGGATGCGAAAAGCGGAGAAGTTTGTCGAAACAATTCGAATCGATCAGTGTTGTGCAACTGATGGATATATCTTGAGCAAAAAATTATTGGCGAATCATGATCGATTAAAAAATCGATGATGAAATATTAAAAAACGTGCACAGAATAAATCGTTAAATTATTTTACATCTTTTTGTTGATTGAGAACAAGATATATTTTTCATTGTTTAAAAAAAAGTGAATGTCTACGAGTTAAGTTTATCGTAGTAATTTAATCAAAGTCTTCTTATGTTGTTTCTTAAATTATTACAAAGGACAGAGACCCCCTCCTCCCTTCGATCCTTCTCGAAATATGGCCTCCAATTAAACGCCATTCAATCCCATCGTAATCCCATCAAAGATGCAACAACAACAATCGAATCACCGTCAATTCGCCAAGAATTTCCGCCAAATTTACTCTCAAAGTCCAAGACTCCTCCCCCTCCCCCTTCCTCGCCAGTTTTCCAGTGGTAACAAGTTTCCCGGACTAATAAACGACGCGACTTTCCTCTCTTCTTAAATGTAATTACCGCCCTGCGAAAAGGAAAGAAAAGGGAAGAAAAAAAGAGAAAGAGAGAGAGAGAAAGGAAAAAGGAAAGAGGGAACGTTGAACGCAAACGATCATCAGAAGTCGCATCTATGAGACGGCGGCGTTAATTAAACCTCGTTACTTCCCTTCGAATCTCTCTCTTAACAACTTGCCGTCCAATCGAAATCCCCGATAATCTCTCGAACGATCGAAGATGTTGTTGTCTCGAGCCTTTCTCCTTGCATACGTGTATATATATATATAAATCCATATCTTGAAAAAGAGAGGAGATGGAAGAAAGAAGATTTCTTCGAAGAGAGTGGCTCGTTATCAACCACTCTGTTTCGCTCGACGTCACCCTTTCACTGCGCGCCGCGCAGGAAACCATCCCTGAATCCAAGAACCGAGCCTATCCCTCCCCTCTGCTTTGCACGCGCAAAACTCGAGACTGACAAACCCCTGCCAAAAACTCCCTTTACGCGTGCACAGTCTTCTTCCACGGCTCGCACTGCGAGGTCGACGTGTCTCGCACAGCCGGAACAGAAAACATCGGCCGAGAGGGGGGAGGAGGCGTTCCAAAGCAAGCCGAGGAAGGCGACCCGTGTGGAAAAGGCCCAGTTCATTAAAATATGTTCCAGCCGGCGGTAATTACGCGTTTAATTATTTAAACGAGTGACCCGGCATTCAGCAAGATTTCACCCCCTCCTCCCTCTCTCTATCCTTTTCCACCTCTCCTTTCTTCCTCCGATTCCAACTCTGGTTAAACTCCTCCAACCCCTTTCATTCTTACTTTTCTCCCCACACCGTTTCTCGCTCTCTCGTCGCGATGATATCAGAGGCCATCTAGCCATCTTCATCCAATCTTCCTACTCTTTTCTCGTTCTCCCCTCCCCTCCTTTCTCCCTTCCCCTGACAGAG